AGCTGAGTCAGTCTTGTCTGTGGTTGAGCTATATTTTGTATTGCTATGCTTACCCACAGTGTACTACAGACTTCAAATTCCAGTCTAGGGTTACCTTTTTTATTTTTTTATTTTTTTTTAAGATTTTATTTATTTGAGAGAGAGAGAGTGTGCAAGAGAGAATACAAGCAGGGTGAAGGGCAGAGGGAGAAGCAGACTCCCAGCTGAGCAGGGACGTGGGACTTGATCCCAGGACTCTGGGATTATGACCTGAGCCGAAGGCAGTCACTTAACCGACTGAGCCACCCAGGTGCCCCTCAGGTTACCTTTTTTAGGGTGGGATCTCATTTGCCAAAGGATTTTTCTTTCCTTTTCTTTTTTTGTTTTTTAAGATTTATTTATTTTTTGAGAGGGAGAGCACGTGCACAGAGGGAGAGAATCTCAAGCAGACTCCCTGCTGAGAGCTGAGCCTGACCCAGGGCTCGATCTCAGGACCCTGAGATCATAACCCATCCCATGACCCCGAGATCATGACCCAAGCCGAAATCAAGAGTTGGACGCTTAACTGACTGAGCCACCCAGGCGCCCCACCAGAGGATTTTTCTAATGTCTACTCTACCTTCAACTTTGGATCTCATTTTCTTAGTTGTTAAAGTACCTTAGAGAGTGTCTCTCTCCCTACTCTTCCCTTCCCAGCAGTAGACTGATGTTATTTATTACCTCAGTGTTTGCTAACACAATGGTGGTAATGGGTGTGGGTGCTAGGGCAGGGGACAGTCTGTTTTCCATTTTTCTGTTTCAGTTTTAGGCAGACAGTGTATCCCCAGAGACTTTCTCAGTGGTTCCACCTCTCTCCCAGGGGTTGGGGATCTCTAAAGGTCTAGGGCTATGATTTTTTCTACCCCTGCCTCAGGGATAGAGGGTTTTTTCTGTTACCTTCCTTCAGTTTATGCAGGGGCCAACTAAAAATAGTTACTCCATAAAGTATATCTATTAAGATTTTTTTTAATGTTTTTTATGTTCTGATCTGAAGCCATCTCCCTAGGCTATTTTTGCTAGACTTTTCTATCAGTGGCACCAGAGATGCAAAGTTTTTGGCATCAAGTGTGTTATTAAATATATTTATAAATATCACTTAATAAATAATGTATTTTCATTTTTTATATTGATTCTAAGTTTTATTTCTTTAATTCTTTTTTTACTGAAGTATAATTGATATCCAATGTTAAATTAGTTTCAGATGTACAACATAGTGATTTAACTTCTCTATTCATCATGGTATGCTCAGCACAAGTGTAACTACCATCCGTCACCATACAATACTATTACAGTACAATTGACTGTATTCCCTATGCTGTACCTTTTATCCCTGTGACTTATTAATTCTATAACTGGAAGCCTGTATCTCCCACTCCCCTTCACCCATTTTGCCTGTCCTCCCCTGCCCCTCTGGCAGCCATCAGTTTTTCTGTATCTATGGGTCTGTTTCTTCTTTTTGTTTGTTTATTCATTTGTTTTGTTTTTTAGATTCCACATATAAGTGAAATCATTGTCTTTCTCTGTCTTGACTTACCTCACTTGGCATAATAACTTCTAGGTCCATCCGTGTTGTTGCAATTGTCAAGATCTCATCCCTTTTGTATGGCTGAGTAATATTCCTGTGTGTGTGTGTGTGTGTGTGTGTGTGTATACATACACGTGTACACACACATCTTCTTTATCCATTCATCTATCAGTGGACACTTGAGTTACTTCCATATCTTGGCCATTATAAATAATGCTGCAATAAGCATAGGGGTGCATATATCTTTTCAAATTAGTGTTTTCATTTTTTTTGGGTAAATAGTCAGTAGTGGAATTACTGGATCATAAGTATTTCTATTTTTGATATTTTGAGGAACCTCCGTACCCTTTTCTACAGGGGCTGCACAATTTATAATCCCACCAACAGTGTATAAGGGCTCCCTTTTTTCTCCAATCCTCACCAACACTTGTTATTTTTTATGTTTTTGATTCTAGCCATTCTGATAAGTGTAAGGTGATACCTCATTGTGGTTTTGATTTGCACTTCCCTGATGATTACTGATACCGAGCATCTTTTCATGTGTCTGTTGGCTATCTGTATGTCTACTTTGGAAAAAATGCCTATTCAGATCCTCTGCCCTTTTTTTTTTTTTT